TTTTGTACTAATCCTTCATGAAAATTCAAATTCCAGGTAACAAATGGGTTTTCGACACACATCTATAATAATACTAGGACTGGACAATACACCTTGTCATTGCCAAGTTATGTAAATGTTTTCTCAGGTGTTCAGGAAGCAGGTGTATTAAATCAGAAGAAACACGTGACTATGGCTTTAACAGTCAATTAGCAATCTGTGGGATTACTTTACAATCATAATTTGGTAATATAACATTGCCACTGAGGTACTTTAGAAGAAACATACTTTTAAAATGTCTGGGGTTTTCATAGAAAAAGTAGCAATAGCCACGGGCCTGGACTTAGGAACTCAGACTAATTCTTTCCATATGGATTTTCACAGGAGCTGGGTGAAAGGGAATCTGCCACAAGCAGCCATTATTCCCTCTTGGGCTTAGAATATGCCTGTGGTGCTATGTTAACAGGCCCCATTTTATTCATCAGCCAGGTTGGTTTTTCCATCACACGTTCCTCTCACAGTTTGTTCTTTCTCTAACCCCTCATAATCCAGTATTTGATTGGGATAGGGTACAGATGCCAATAGGGTTTAAATAATGAGAAAAATGTTGAGGGGTTAAAAACTGGGAAGAAAGTCGTTGAACACTAAGATACTTTGCCTCCTGGCTCTACATTTGTAGGTACTCTGACCCAGAACTCACTGAAGTGATGCAGGGTAGCCAGAGTCTATGTCTGTGTATGTGTACATAGATACATACAAACTGTATTCTAACCACAGCACCATCCTCCCAGCCCTATTCAGGTCACTGTCAATATATTGTTGGACTATTCTAATGCACTCTATATAATCTCTTTGTGTGCCTGATTCACCATGGCCTCCTTGGGGATCTTTATTTTCATAAAGAATCCATTTTACTTTTGATTTATGTAACCTAAGCCCATGTAATTTTCCTAGAATGGTACTGCTAAATGGAACAAATGGCTATCTTAGGGGGAAATGTACAACTGAAGCATTTGGAGGTATCTCCCAGTGATCTGTAAGGGTTGTAAAAGTAAATGACACTGGGAAAGTAAAATTCTGGAACAATACTTTATGTGACCGTGCAAAATAAAATCAAAATTCATTTAGAGTATCTGGCCGACTTCATGTGTGTGGGGTGGTGTATGTAGGTATAAGTCATACAAGCATGTATACCCACGTGCTTACCAGTGTGCTATGCACACTGGCCCATGTGGGCCCAAGGTTAACATTGGGATCTTCTACAGCTATTCCCCACTCTAATTTTTATGACTGGTTTCACTGAATCTAGATTTCCTCAGTGGGCAACACTGACTGGCGTCATTACCGACTTCAATCCCTAATGCTGGTGTTGAAGCCCTGAGAAAACACCAGACAGCCTTACCTACCTATTGCTGACTTCTTTCTTCAGTGCATCTTTAGGGATGTGTGCTTTGAGTAGCTCACACGGCAACAACCCAAAAAGAACAATCCCAGGATTCCTTCAACCCATGATCTTGTTTCAGAATTTTTTTTCCCAGGCATCAGGCAATTCAATACGATTCAAAAGCATGATGTATGCGGCTTTAAAAAAATCATTAGTGGCTTCCAGGATCTTTTTATTCTTTGGTGTTTGTAATTATTTCTCCTCATTCCTAAAAACTGATGTTGAATCTGTTGACCCCCCCCCCCACTGCAATGTCTAATTTGCCTTCTTAATACCGTGAGCCAATTCTCAAAGTCCATTAGCTCAGTTATAGTGGGAGGTGGCATTCTTATCCAGGGAACAACCTGCCCTTACTGTGATGAGTTTTGTACCCACCTACTTGGAAGCAGAGGAGTTGATGTCTCATATGGGGAACTGATTTAGCAGAAGTATTCAGAAAGGGAGTTGAGGTGTATTTTTTTGTTTTGTTTTGTTTTCAAAACTCGGGAAATGTAAAGGACAAAATGAACTGATTGGCATTTTCTTGTAAATATCTTAAAGCAGCATGTTGACATATTCAGTAATGCTAGATGTCAACCAGAATTGAGCCATTCAGCTGTAATTGAGAAGTAATTGAGGCATGAACTAATTTAGCAATTCTAAATACTTATCATGCCACAGACGGAGAGAAAAAGGGATCTCTTAGGGCATTTTAACCAGAAAGGGTGGCACAAGAGGGGCCATGTCATAAAGCAGACGTAGTGCAAGATGGAGTCTGCTGTGGAACCTTTCTGTGCAGCGCATGATCATCCTTGTGTTTTAAACACAACGCTAAACAATTAACACCCCACAGCATTTCCCCACTGTGTAGACTATCTGTGTACTTACCTCGACATAATACATAAAACTTAAACCACCAGTACATTACTTGAAGATAGCAGCATCAATTTGGGTGAATAAAACTCTTCTACGGGAAAAAATTTAGAGCCATGCCTCACTTTAAATTTCAGCTCCAGTTTAACTCTTTAGGTAAAATGGAGAAAAGATGTTGTTTCTGCCCTTCTGTGGTATGTATGACTGATGGTGATTAATAACAATAATAGTAATACTTAATAATAAATCCAAGCATAATTATGTCTGTGTTGATATACAGGTATAATCAAACCTTTCCCCAATTAAAAGAAAAGTTGTACTCTATTTTTCTATCATGTTGAAAACAAAGGTATTCTGTTTGCACACAGAACAATAACGAGGTATTAATAATGGAAAGATAGTCGGGTACAATTAATAAGATCTTGACATGGAAAGTCATGTCACTGCTGTAGTATTATCGCACAGCATAGTCCATTGCCACACACATACTGGAAACAAAAGTTAGTCCCATGTCTAAGTAAAACAAACTCATTCCCATGCATATCCTGAATTGCAATAATGTTGCTTTTTGTCTATCAACTTTGTAAAGAATTGATTTAAGTAAATGTGGCCCCGCACAACATATGAAGGCTTATTTTGACCCGTTAATATACAAGGCTCTTTGTTCTGTTGACTGCCTTCTTTGGGTAAATGGTTTATATTTTATGGTCCATTGTCATAGCCTTGGCCCTAGTTCAATTCCAATTTAAGAAAATACTTGAAGCGCTGTCTTCTTCCAGTAGCATGCAAACACTCCAGGAATTTGATGTCTTCCAGAATATTCTGTGCTTGTTATGCAAGTGCAATCAAAGACACTTTTTCAGAACAGAACAAAAGAGGTTGAATTCTCTGTAGCTTAAATTGCTTAAAGAGTTCTCAGTGGTAGAATCGTTAATGGCTTTTGAGCAAACAAGGACACTGAATCATGCATTTTTATTAGTCACCCAAGAAGCCTTCGGTTTCAGGTTGTTCTCCAGCTTGCAAACACCAAGGCTCGTCTTTAAGAAACTCCAATGTGTGTTGCCCGATTAGGAAGTTAGTCATTTAATGTTTTGACAATTAAAACAATATAAAGTTAAAAACTAACAAATTACCTTTAGAAGTAACAGGATACATCACTTTAAAAATGAACGGCCTAAGGATTTGTGGCGCCTTCCTTTGTTCCGCCTAATCCCCCTCTGCTGTCTGAGAGTTCGGCAATTTGCAAATATCTACATTGGATTATAATAATACGTGTTGGTATTAATTCCCTACTCAGTGAAAAGACACATTTTAGACACTGGCAGCTTTTGTGTTCTGAGAATTAGCTATCCTTCCGCGGTGTTCTCTTCTCTTCATTAGTGAACAGTATTCTGATGTGAACACTGCCTCCCTCATTCCCCATTAAAACCAAAGTCAGTCTGGCATAACACATTGCCTTTTTCCAGGAGGAACGGTGAGGTCGAGTTTGGGAAATATCCTTACAGGCCCCGTGCTCTGCGGATTGTTTACCCCTTCTTGTTTTAGAAGTTGCCTCAGCCATGGTCACAGACATCCCTTGAGGCAACTTTTCCATTTATTTTGTCCATGTAAGGGGAACATATTGAGAGTTTTGCTCCTGAGAGATTAAAATAAATACATCGGGAGGAACATTCTCGAAGCTCCCGCACAGACCACTCACTGCCTTCTCCCTTGGGTCCATCGGCATCCTTACCCCACAGGCAATGAGGCTGCCCAATCCAGAGTTTAGAAAGATGCCGGGGTCTAGAAAAAATGCTAAAGAGACCAGAAAAGTGCTGCTTTACTTGTATACACTTAAAGTTAAAAGGTAACATGTGTTATGATAAGGTTTCTCTCAATGGCTTCTTAAAAGTATATTGGCCTGTGAAAATTAGTCCACGTGTGTAAGGTAATTTATTCAAGATACCAGCTTTTTTTCCCCTTGAAATTCTGGAAAAGATATTTAACAATGAATTGTCCTTGTAGAGTTAAAGAACAGAGATGGATAGTTGTAAAAACAAACACTCAAAAAAGCAAAAGAACAACAACAAAAAAAACTCCTTCTTTTGAGTCTTTTGTGTACTGAGTTTGGATCACAAGTTCTCATATGTGTTAGGCATGGAAACTCAATTTCTAAAATGGAAATTTAGGCTGTATATATAACTCACTAGGTAGAACACATGCTTGGTTTGCATGAGACCGGTTATAGTCCATAGCAAAGAAAGAAAACAAAGACAGAAAAAGGAGGGGAAAAAAAAGAGGTGTCTATTTTCAAACATTAGTGATCGCCCTAAATGAAAATCGAACTTTATTATCATAAGACAGAAATGTTTGAACCCCAAGTTGAATGGAGTTATAAATTCTGCCATCCTTATTGTACTTTGGTTTAGGCAAAATTAATGATAAAGTATTATTTTATAGGTCAGGGTCTCAATTGGGGATCAAATGGAGCCTTTCACAGGGGTTGCCTTGGGCCCTCAGAAAACAGATATATTTACATTACAATTCATAACAGTTATGAAGCAGCAACAAAAATAATTTGATGGTTGAGGTCGCCACAACATGGGAAACTGTATTAAAGGGTCACAACATTAGGAAAGTTGAAAGCCATTGTTACGGACACACTGAAACCAAAGTACTTTCACAGCATTTTGTCCCATGTGCTAGTGAAGAAACCCTTATCACTTTATTTTTTTTTTCCTTATAGGAAAACTGAAGACTTTAATAACAAATCCTTCAAGGTGAAAATGAATACAGGTATGTTGCCTCTGTTAGCTTTTAAAAAAAAAAACTCTTTAATTTTGCTCTTTTAAAGTCACCTTGGTCCTACATTAACATAGTGCTGTATTGATCATGAATGTAATGCTGAATTTCTGGGCATGTGGAGAGTTACATTGCTCTATCATTACGTCCGAATACTGTAGCCTAAAGTAGGATTCGTTTTTGTTATCTGCCATTACTTATCTTTTGTTATATATTTTCTTCTTCTGAATGTATGTATGTGTGTGTGTGTGTTTTCAAATAGGGGCTATGTGTCGTGTGTGTGTGTGTGTATGTGTGTGTAGACCAAAGTTTAAATTTCAGTATCATTCCTTGTTTTTTAACCTTCCCTGTTTATTGAAGCAGGTTCTTTCATTTGGCCTGGAATTCTGCGGTCAGGCTAGGCTAGCTGCCCCATGAGTCCTGTCTCTGGATCTCCAGGATTGCAATTATAAACACATTCTATTGTACCCAGCTTTTCAAATATAGGTCCTGAGGAGCAAGTGGGAGCTTTCACATGTGTATGAAAGCCCTTTGCCAACTAAGCCATGATGTCAGCCCTCTCTGGTTGTATTTTTTTTGACTAATTTTTAAAGTTGTTTGAAATTGTATTTACATGTCTGAATCTCTTGCTTAAAATACATTAGGCTCAAAGGCAAGTTGCTCTGGTGAAAAGTAGTTAAACTTTTCCATTTTACAAACTGTTTATGTTGACAAAGTGAACAGACAGAATGCCAAAACCTCACCCAAAATGAGCTCAATTCTTCTTCATCACAATATGCATAAAGCCATAGCATGTTCTTTTTAAACTTGCACAAAGTATCCCTAAATATTTTAACACAAATGCCTCTGAACCACGTTATATACATTTTAGTTGCAAAATGGTTTATAAACACATGCTTTATACATATATATATATACATACATATATATACATATGTATGTATGTATGTATGTATATATATGTGTATATATGAAAACATCATTGTTTTTCTACAGCGGACCTATAAATTTATCTTCGCCCTCATTGCCTCAAAAGTATCAAACATGGTATACTCACATGCAGTGATTAAAGACAATAACTCTCTCAATGAAATCCTGTGACTGTGACATGGCTGATGGCGGCAAAATTGGTTTAGCCAGCCACTCCATAACAGAGCAGAAAGGAATCCTAGAACATTCTTGCTCATCAAGCTCCTTGTATCAAAGTGTCTAAAAGAAGGATTAACCACTGGCTGGTAAGAACCAGTATTTAATCCCTAGATCAAATGTGGAGACACATGCCAGGTCCACCTCCCTAAGGCATCCTCTTAGCTGAAGCCTGCTCAGACTGCCTCAGAGAACACTGCGTTGGCTGGCTCCTGAGGGTGGAGCCTACGTGTAGATAGATGTTTAGAGCAAAGGACAAGACCAGGGTGCTGGACAGAGAAGTGGTGACCTTCACAGAAAACCAAGTACAGGCAGTTTTGCAGTTGCAGGTGGGTTTGCTTTTTTTTTTTTCAGTCTCTGCCTAATGATGGCTCTTATTTCATTTGGCATGTGCAATGTAAAATGGACTCTAAGTATCCATGTTGCATGACTCTAAGTCACTCCAAAAGGCTGCCCACACGAAAAAGTGGGGCTCATACACTGTTCAGAGGTATCTCCTTTGGAGATTTAAGTTCCACAGAGCTTACCAAAATAGGATTGTCCTATTTACCATGAACTTATTATGATAGATATATAATTATAGTGAACATTCTGTGCTGTATACAGCATATTCAACCATTGGTCTTCCCATCCCTATAATTGCATCCTAATAATGAAGTGGGAACAGAGAATTGGAAAACTGTTTAACTCTCGGGTATCTCAACCAAGTTGCTGCTTGAGAGCATGAATAGAAAACTCCATAACAACCTTTCACTTGTAAGGAGTGATCTTGACTCTAGATCGGCACAAGTATGCATGAAATCCAGTTCCCTACATAGATAAATTTACCTATGGTAAGCTAAAACCCTTTGTTTGAAATTCCAAAGTAATGTTACAATGTTGCTATAAAAACATGCTACTTAAAAAATATAGATGACAAATATTTATATGACATTACGGTAGAAGATAGATAGGCACATCTCAATTTAGGAAACTGAAATCATTGTCACTGTATTAACAAAATTAATCTGAGCCAATTTTATTTATTAGGTACTCAGGAATCAATCTTTCCTTTTCTCTCTGCCCATTGTTAATGATACATAATATTTCTTAAAACTCTACATGCCAGGTCCAGGACAGTAGCTCAGATGACTAAAGTTCTTGTTGCTTGGTCATGGGCACCTGAGTTCTAACCCCAAGCACCCAGGTACAATGCTGTGTATAGAAGAGAGCACCCTCAGTGCCAGTCCTAGGAGTCAGAAGGCTCCTGGGAGTTCCCTGGCTAGGCTAGCCAATCCTTGTCATTGTGTTCCAAGCATAGTGAAAGATCCTGTCTATATATATATATGAATTAGGGAGAAATGAAGATACTCTTAACATTGACCTCTGACCTCCAGATGCATACACATAGTTGTGTTCACCCACATGGACAGTTCACACATACACATATACATGTCACATACAGGTAAGCAAAAGCCTATTTGCCAGTCACTACAGTCTAAACTTTCGTTTATATATAATCTTTGCTCGTAAGCAAATACATAACAAACTATCCGAGGAGAGTGAGTTTCATTTGAGCATGTCTAAGCTATGTCCTATCTCCACTCATAGCAACTGTGACTCATTACTCTTTAATGCATGAGAATTCACTATCATTAAAAGAGGGAGTGATAATTCAGTAATCCATAGGCTTACGTGTTTTCTAGCAGTGGAAACAGGACTCCTTAAAGCTCAATGGGAGACTGTAGTTCATGAATATAGTTCACTGTGAGGGTGAAACCAGCACTAGGCTCTTGAGGATGAGACAGAGACAGAGACAGCATTCTCTGTAAAGAATAAGGAAAGTCAGAGACAGCATTCTCATCTTGAGTCCTTAAAAACATTTTCAAACAATAACACAAATTACCAACATATAAATAGAAAGAGAATGTTAATTTATAATGGCTTGTCTGTCATACCAATTTCAAAAAAAAAAAAACCTGTTTTTAAAAATAAGCCCTTTAATAAGTGTTAGCACAAAGTCTCCCATTTACTTAAGCCTAAAGATATCCATACTTCTTTGTCTAATGGTGACAATGTCTGAGTATTTTTTTTTCATGTTGTGTCTAAGCCCAAATCAAGTATCTAATAATTCTATTTAGTATGCAGTTTGGTGCAAACAATATAATGAGTATTTATGTCCTGACAATGGAAAAGTCATCTGACAAAATAATACGTGTGAATTGAAAGAAAATAGTAATTTACTTCCACTGTAACCCAAATTACTTAATAGTGGTATATATGTGCCTTTCATGCGCTGGGAGACTTCTCAGGCCATGAAATGAAATTGTACATAACCACTCTTGTTCACTGATCCAAAATGACTTTCATAGAGAGTTTGCTTTCCAACATAGCAACCACCCGCAATCCGGCTTTTAGAAATACAGTGTAATCAAAATCAGTATAATAACCTATAATGTCAAAACTGAATGCTTCATTCTAATATTCCTTCCAATGCCCTGATATTTTCTCAGTTTTTTTCAACACTCCTCAACAGTCCTGTAGCTTGGCAGAGGTGGTGCAGGGCATCTCAGCACGCGGCTTGAACATGCTGTACTTTAGTCACGCCCCTGGCCCTTCTCATTCTGGGATGCAATATTTTCACCTCTGTTCATTTTCAAATTCTAACAGCTACAAGAACATGAAAGTAAAGTCCTTCTAAGCGTGACATCACTGTAAACATCCTTGACTGCCCAGCCCTTGTAGACCAGCCAGCAGTGACGGGATCTTCGGTTACATTTCATGGCTTTGTACATTTTCCCACACACCTCGTCTCTCACGGGATTTTAGCAAATTGAAAATAGCTACTGGTGTTCTGTTGAAGGTTGTAATTTTCTACCATTGATGTCTTTCTCTTTTAGCTCCTAGCTGTAGGGTTTTATTCATTTAGTTTATTTTCATTTCACGTTTCAATGCAGGTTTCCTGTTTGGTGGTTTCTGAATTAAAAAAATCTAATCTTAAATTAGATTATATATTAGAAAAGTTATACCAATTTTGTAGTTCATTGGCCTCACTCTTTATGACTTTTACCAATAATTAACTCACGATTTAAGCTATATTTATTAAATCTCTGTTCTTTTATGTTTGCTTAATAGACTGGATATTTACCCTATAAAGTAAAGAATAAGGAAAGTATGTGACAAGTTGCTTTCCTTGTGCTACTCACAATTATATTCTTATATTGTTGGTTATGCAATTGATTTTGTGTATGTTCACTTTCGAAAAGAGAACTGAGGTTGTTTTGATTTGATGAGCAGGGCAAAGATGGAAAACTATTTATTGCACATGCTATATTACCAAAGAATGTGGGCGCAGAATCAGAGTCTATTCAGAAATAGAACTCTAACCTTTCAATCTTGCAGTCCTGTCTTCCAAATTTAGAAGTCTCAACTTCTCATAGCATAGAAAACGTCTGATGCATTTGAACATATTTCACTTCACATTTTAATTTTCTTAGTATATATATAGATAGGTAGATAGATTACATCAGACACATAATTAAAAAAATAAGAGCAATTTGTTTTTAATAATATGCTCATTTCAATAATGTGTATGTCAGTGTTGGTCTTGATTTCAACTAGAATAGCTATTTCATAACTGTGAGAAGACATGAAATTGCATAACACTATATGTTTCTCTACGACCTGTATACACAGGTCATATATGAAGTATATGTCAATTGAAAAATTGAAAATTCAATTATCCAATCAAGACAACTCATCCCTGATTATGGTTAGGAATCACAAGTAAAAATAAAGTAAATTTAAATTATTTGCATAAATGCATGTTATAACATGGCACTATAGGATGAAATGCAGTTAACCCATAACTCCAAAAGCTAGCTGTGCTGTTTCTAGACTTAGTGCGCATTCAATACAAGTCATGTAAACAAATGCTGAGCTCTATATCTGGAATTTTATTAAATAACCAATGTTGAACATTAAATGTAAAACCTTTTATTCCATTTTAAAGCATGATTTCATTTAAAACTGTTCCATTCTAAAGCATTTAGAGATAGCAACTAAAGTCTATCTCTGAGCACAACCCTTGTGTGTGTGTTGTTGTTGTTGTTGTTTCACTTTTGTGTCAGTGTCTCTCCTAGTTTCGGGGTGGGAGTAAAACTTGCAGGTGTATCCCACGATTACTAATGCTCAGCTGTTCGTCTTTCTTGTGAATGTCTGACACATCTCACTTAAAATGCATGACCTCGCATGTGCTGTCTCTGTGGCCTTGGCCTCTGCTATATCATTTTTTTGCTTCCAGATAGCGGTGGGTGTGCTCGCAAACGTGCCGCCATGTCTGTCACGTTAACATCTGTGAAGAGAGTTCAAAGTTCTCCAAACCTATTGGCTGCAGGTATAACCTCACTAACGCACAGTGCCATACTTGAATGGTGTCACCTTACTTCTTTCCAGAATCGTCACGTTGGGGTGTGTACAAAGGCTCTAAATGCCTTTCAAGTCCCCCACAGGGTCTTATTTTTTTTTCTAATCCCGAGAATAGCTTCTATCCTTTCTAGTTTTGTTCTAAAAATAAAAAGCCAAAGGAAACTGATACCTTGTTTAAAACAACAAACATTTAAAAATATAATTAAAAACATCAGTCACTTGCCAAAAATATGTTAACTGCAAACGTTAATAACTATTTACGTTTTTGTTGTCTTATCAGTTAAGGTAATGTGATACTTTATTAAGATATCATCGGTTCCTTTGAGAATTTAGGGTTAGAAAAAGAGACTTGATTGAAGTGGATCTTTATTAACTTGGCTCGTCTCCAAAGATTGCAAACATAAAACAGACCTTCCCGTATCTGTCTCATACATACTTTATAACATATCAAAATCTCGATCAATTTAGATTAACATGAACCCACCGATAAAAATGTACTCCAGAAAGCAACTGGGGATGTGATATTTCAGTATCCTCTGAGGTGGTTCTCTTTTTATTAAGTGACTTACCTTTACTTAAGGCACAAACTTTATCTGGAGAGAGTCCGCAACTTTGGAAGATCAACTGGAGGTTAGGCTGTCCCTGGACCCTTACAGGAGTATCCAAAGCCCCTTGGTAACTAGTTAGCTAATTGGTTGATGTGGAAGCCTAGGGTTTCCTTGGTTTTTATTTATAAGAGTAGTTATAAATATAACAGGAGGAAGAAAGGGATGGAGTCTCTAAATAACTCAAATTCTCACTCAGTGGTTCAGTCTTCTATAAACACATGTAAAGTGGTCAGTTGGTACTAAGGATGGCCCTACTCAACTTTATTAAAGGAAAAAAAAAACTTTTAAAGGTGCCATGCACCTTATTCTCCAACTCACAAATGGATTTCAAAGTCCAAGTTTAAATGTCAAGTTGGGAATCTCATATTTCTTTACAAAGAACAAATTGCAATGCATGTAATATAATCTTATTTGGGTTTAAAAATCACTCTGTATGTGTCTCTTCATGCACGTATGAATAGAAAAAGGTACTACAAAAGCTATACAGACTTACTTATCTAGATGCATTAGATACATGACAGTGATGGGAAGAGCAAGTAACAGTCAGGTACATCGTATAATTGGAAAAGCCTGAACCACGAATTTCCTTGACATTTCAACCAAGTGAAACCTCTGATGTTATCACCAATACACACTGCAGAGTGTGTATCACCACTACGCACTCCCCACATTGGCAATTCCTATTTGTTATTGCTTATAAAAAAGCAACCCACAAAGGATGGCACTGGCTTGAACTACAGGTCACATTTGAGAGAGTAAAAACTGTCCTACAAGCAAATTCCACACCATCCAAGTCGTTGGGAAAAGACTAAATGTTTCACAGTCAAAATAGAAAAATAAGCTGAACCAGTCCTGATGGCATTGGCCGATGACCCCAGCTACTTAGAGTTCAAGACTACCTGGACCATCCAGCAAGTTTAAGGCAAAACGGGCACGCTGTCTCTAAATAATCGAATCAGAGTTAGAGATGAGATGTAGCTCGGTGGTAAAATGCTTAGCTCACATGTACTAGGCTTTCGGTTCAATTCCTTGTACCCAAGGGAAAGGGACAGGAAGGAAGGTTGGTTGATGAAATAAAATTCAGCAATGTGATCAATAACTATCTATTGCCTTCATTTTGTCCCTAGAAATAAGATCTTTAGCAGTTCCTTAAATTTTGGATTTAACTTTAAAAGAATATTTCTCTTGCATATATTGACACATAAAATCTTCAAAGAAATTTTAAGTACATTTTAAAGGAAAAAATTAATAATAATCAGGATCCTTTATGCCCAGGATCATTGTGTAGCAGCCTTTACAAGAAATTATGTGGAAGGAAATGTATTTTTCAACATCACCAGAGAATTGAATATTTATTGAGATATATGCTAAACTCATCAACTCAAGTGTCATCTTGACATTTCCTTTGTGGGATGGTCCATAGAGTTTACCATGCTCAGTAACCCATGGGTGAGTGTAGGTAAACTGTCCTCTGCTTCTCCCCCTTGATGTTTCTCGGGGTCTGTAACCCCATAATGTGGTCACTACTGTGAATAAACAGAGCTGGCCATCTAGAAACTCTCAGAGGATCGGTCTTCCAAGTGTTTTCAAATGAATTCAACACACCCTTTCTTCCCAACCTCATCGACATCCCTGGCACCACCACAAACATGGCCCCTATTGCTCCTCCCCCAGCACGCATTTCATGTCTTTCTTTTCAAGCGTAGCCTTATCAAACCAAGTGTAAAGTAACATTCCTGTTCTCGAGGCAAACAGCTACAATACAGCATGTTTTGATGCTGCCTCCCTATCCACTGCCCTTTCTCACATCTCCAGATTTGTTCTTTTTGTCTGCAGGGGGTAGCACCACAGTTTTCAGGTCATCTATTTCCTTCAGTGCCCCCCAAACGTAATTCTGAAGGTGGTGTGCACTAAACAACATTGGTTTTCTCTGTAGAGATGCCATTGTCTCTTTAACTCCAGGCCCCATTAAACTCTAGGTATAGAACCAAGAAAATATGTCATGAGTATTTCCACAAATACTGGATTTTTACTGGATTACTCGATTGTACTTATCTTTTACTCCAGCTGATGATCATATGTTCTGAATGAGAATTTGTTCCTTTCTATAACTCACCTGGGCTGGAGTTGTTCCAGGCAACTCTGGGCTAAGTCACATTTTTTTTTTTCTTCCCTTAATTGGGAAAAAAAAGAGAAAGAGAAATCCATCTTAAATATTTTATCTTAAAAAATTAAAAACAAACTTTTTTTCTCAACCCACTGGTCATCAAACCAAACATATATGCATAAATTCTAAAATGATATTCCCAAGGCATTTGGGAGGAAAACAAAGAGTCACTGGCTAGTAACAACTTATTAATGGTCCCAGGGACGTGTAAAAGGAGTGCAGGAACTGGACAGCAGTGAAACTAAAGGACCCCTATGATGCTTTCCATGATCAAGAAACCAATGGACCCAAACAGTACAAACTGATTCCCTCAGATGGCCGTATAAGAGGTTCTTAAATATAAAGTTCTGAGACAATTGGCCACTAGTTTGTGGTTTAAAAAAATTGGTTTTGTACCAAAAGCAACTTACTTACTATGATTTATTTTCCACAGCTTATGAGCCAAAAGACAATGGAATAATATACTGTAACAACTTCCATGTTTGCATAAACAAAGACTTTGAAGGGACAATAAAAAAATTTTAATTCCAGAGAACAATATGAAAATATTACCTGGTGTAAAAGATACATCTGTCTTTGTAAAAGTGAGGGGGAAAAAAGCAGCTACTGAAACATTAGTCACTACCTAGTGTAGCAGTTAAATACAGTCAGTTACAGGTGAGCTTCGGCCAGCTACAGATCTGGTGGCTTACTTTAATGTTCTAAAAAGCACTCATTGTTTGCAAACCAGATTCTTTTCAATCCCTTAATTCTATGTTCAGAATTCCTATATCCATCTTGGGCCATGATACGCTTAAAATTACATGGTTGCAATATTATTACGGCTGAAAATTAGTGTTTGATACGTGCTCCAGTTATAGACTGCAGATAGCTAACAAAGGATAAGCCCGTTGAGATTAACACCGGGCCCAGACCTCTCATTACTACACGGAAGGTGCTTTAGGACTGAGCTAACATCGGCAAACACAATGCATGCGGTTTGCTGCCGAGTCTCTCTCCAGGAGTGTTGGGTCTGTTTCACGCTGGCATTAATTTCCATATTGCTTTTCTTTCAGGACGTGATTCTCAGTCTCCGGACTCAGGTACAGAAAAACATATTGTGAATAGCGGTTGTGCTTGCTCCAAGGACTTTTTTTCCTTTTACATATCCATAGCCACATTGTTGAATTCGTGTTAAATTTAAATCTCATACGTTGTTACGCACATTAAATCACAGTTGTGTCAAGACCACTTTGATTTTAGAAAAAAAAAATCAATTTTCTAGCACACCAAAAAAAAAAAAAAAATTTTCAAGTGAACGTAGATGTTTCTGTGTCCGATTTGTTTTCCCTTAATAAAAGCTTGGAGATCTTACAATGCTCGAAATCCAGAGGCACTGAACGGAGATGCCACGTATTCCTCTCTTGCAGCAAAAGGCTTTAGAAGCGTTCGACCAAACCTGCAAGACAAAAGATCAGCAACCCAGGTAAGGCAGCCCAGTGCTTGCTGTGTGTCTGGTTCCCAGGCCTCTGTTTTCTCATCCTCCCCGGGACCTCATTCCTATCGTCCTAGATTTTAAATGTTTCTGCCTTTTCTATTTGCTCTGCCTGTCGTGCTGACATGTACAACACAGGGCATGAGTTTTAAGGTCAAAACAGGTAGATTTTTGTTATTGTTGTTGTTGTTTTAGTCTCTACTCTCTGGTGAAGCTTCTAAAAATAGGCCAGCTTCCAGCGTAATGTTTGAGATTCTTGAAGCTCGGGCAGCTGATGGTTTAGATTTCGGGGCTGGAGAGTTTGGTGATATACCATGTGTTGAATGAATATGGGTGAGGCAGATGCCGAGCTTCTGAGATGTCAGCAAAACAGCGCATGCAAAATGTTCTAAAAACCATGTGACTAAATGAACCATAGACCTCCAGGTCTACAAATATGACGAGATAGCGCATTTTGCCTTTAGCATAACTTTTAAAACTGCAGATGGAAGCAGTGTCTTTGTAATATATTCTAAAATGAAACATGTTTTCCAACCTGTGAAAAAATATTAATAACAAGATACAAAATATTCTCATAGGATGGAAAGTGACCATTCAGTCTAGCCTGCTTAGGGCATAGTATATACAGATTTCTTCAGGGCAGCTTTGACTATATGCCTCTCATGACTAACTTGGACTTCCTATTTTTTCTTCTATATCATTTCTCTTTCTGAACACCTTCGGCTGTCTAGGCACCCCTTCCTCCAACCAGAAAAGAGAGCTCTTGTAGGTCCTTGATAACTAGTCAAACACAGGGTGACGTTTTAGACCCATTAGTAACAAATGGCACCGAGGACTTTACTAACCTCAAACCTCTCCAGGGAACTATGCATTCTAGTGAAGATTCTAACCAGACAATAGTGTATTCTGAGGAGTCCAACACAACTGTGTCATACACACAGAAAATCACTAATCCACTACCGCCAACCTCCGGCTCTGGTCCCACACCATATGGAGACACCAACGCCCCATTTCTACAAGAAGACTACATGCAAGATTCTCAAACTCGAAGCATTTCCACCTTGAAACTAACCCATAACCCAGACCTAGGGAGTACTTTCTCCTTTAATACACCACAGTTTTCCCAGCCCACAGATGGCCCATCGTTGCTGAAAAGGTCTTGCTCACCAACACCTACCCCAGGACCTAACACACACACAGCATCTCTTTCCATTCAGATAGCTCCCCATTCAGGCAACGATCCTGAAAGCCACAAACAGTTCCCTGAGCTTCCTCCAGAGACTGCAAAGATGCCTCTTCAGCAAGATAGACAAACGTCTGCCGATGCCATGACCTGTCAGTCCCCAGCGGTACATTATATTTGCCAATCTCTTCCGTGTGCTTCAATCGCAGAGATCCTAACCCCTTGAGTCTGAGCTTCGTATTGAACCTAATGCTTTCTTAGTTTCTAAGCAGGAAGGGAAAGGAGAAAGAAACCATTTCAAACCTTACTGGCTGAACTCAGTCAATTTCTTTGTACCTCTTTATTTAAATATATGCACAGAGAACTTCCCTACAAAAATCATGTCCTAAAGGTTTCTTCTTTCTAAGCTTTTCTTGAAAACCATTGATAGACAAGTTGTTACTTAGACACTGCAAACCACATGTATCCTTAATGTATCCTTTGGTACTTCCAGGTACCAAAGACCTATTTTTTTATGTCAGACCTATGGAAGCCAGGCCCTTATTTAAAAACATAGCCTCTCTTAAGACCATAATTCTCAATCAAAATATGCTTTCTCTTAATTGCAAGACGTTATTTATTATTTTGTAAACTGACCTTCATTTTCACTAAAACATGACCAGTAAGCCATTTTAGGAAACACTACGAATCAAATTTTACTACCTAGACTTCTTCGGGAGGATCATAATTTTCACATATGTAAAAGTATCATAGCACCATCCTAACAATACTCATCATTTCTATCAACGGAAAAGCCATTCTTCGCTTAGCCTCTCCACAAAGTGAACCAGTGTTGGCCACAGAAGCTTTAAAGATGAACTATACTGTTTTCTCCAGGCTTTGTTGCTGGCTGTGTGAGAAAACATCCATAGTAACTTCTCCGTGAGTTTGAAACAGACTTAGGGAGTATAATTAACTCTTAATCCATAGGCTGTGTCTAGACAAGAGACTGTTAGAGAAAACTCCACTAACTGGAAGCTTGCCAACCCAGGGCATCCTGGCAGCAGCAGAGACAGGACTGTAGACACTGTAACTCACCAGTAAATGAGATATTGGAGACCAGACAAACTTATCTTTGAAGATACAAAATTTTAAAGCTGTAGAAAACTCTTAACAGATGATAGGACTGATGCCAAAGTTCTCCCTCACCTGCCCATAGTGTAGAAATCTTAAACATGGATAATTAAAAAGATAAGTGGGGGGATGGGGTTACAAATCTATCACAATGCACCCTCTGTGCTATTAATTTCATATGAAGTTTATTCCATAGCAGAATTGTTTTATGTATGTCTTCTTTTCTGTGTATACCAGGCTGGCCTTGAAATCACCATCCTCCTATCTCTACTTTCTGAGTGCTACAATTATAGGTCTGTGCCACCATGTTCAGCCTGAGAGCCCAAATGAATTTAAAAAAAAAAATTGATAATTACAATAATGGCAACTCATGAATAACAGATTTAACCATGTGCAGCCATTATTCTAACACATTTATCTTAATATTTTCACTGTCACAAGCGGTATTATTACTGCCTGCAGTTTACAGGTGAGGCAAATGAGTTCCCAAACTAAGTTGCTTCTATAGCATCCAGCTGGGAAGAAGCAGAGCTAGAATGGCCGCTCACTGATGACGAGGAGCACATGAGTCTTTGGCACACAGAAATGGGCAGATATGTCTCTGGAGCTTAGGAGCCCAGGAAGGTCTAATGTAGAACTGTTCTAGGACCAACAATAGCTTTGTCTGTGACCCATGACATGTCACTCCAGCAAGCAGGGGAGAGGTCACATGGAACATTCCTAACTGCTTGATTCACCCAACCTAATTTGGTTCTTCAAAAATTACTTTCAAAATAATAGCTTTGCTACTTTCCTTCCCAATGATTTTGTCACTATCCAGACTGGCCAGAAACAGTGGGGGTTCATTAATGAATCCCCACCATCTTAACCTGATTTCAAAGCTAAGCTTTAAGACCTCATCACTTTTGTTCATTTATTGAATGTTTATTGATTTCTTGATGTGTCCAGGTTCTACTCTCAAAAGTTCTATTTTCAAGTTTTGATGCTTCATGTCTGCTGCGCAGTTTTTAAGCAGAAGTGAGGAAGGCTTTCTGAGAGTGGGCTTAGGATGGACAGGGAGGAAACCAATTTGACTATGGCTTCTTTCAAGGTGTTATTTGTGTGTCCTCCCTGAACTTTAGTTTCTTCATCCATAATATTGGGTATTAATAACAACATTCGTCTTAGACAATTTCTCGCCAGGTGTGATAATACGAATGGGGGATTTGGCATGCCACCTTCTACACAGTGAATTCTCCAACATGCAGAAACTGTTATTATTTAAAATTTTTTTTTCCAAACTATGTAGAAGTTTGGGAAAGTAAATTGATATTTTCAACAATAATTCATCACAGATGAATGCAAGTTTATCTCCTCAGATAAATTGTGTGCACTGCTTTATTACACCTTGTTAAAAGGTGCTATAAATTGTCATGTTTTTATCTTAATTTTGCCAAGTATGTATAAAATCTACCCTCTTCACTACATTTTTGCAATTCCTGTGTGTGACAGGCACGCATGTGTGTGTATACTGACATGTGTTGGGTGTCCTTCTAGATTATTGTCCGCTTTATTTGTTGAGGCACCCTCTCTTACTGAGCCTGGAGGTGGCTGACTAGTCTAGCTACCAGTTTCCCACAGGGATCCTCTCTCTTTAGCTCCTAAATGCTGGGCTTTTGTGGGGGTTCAGAAAATCCCACCTCTAGCCTCTGTGTTTGCATAGCAAGCACTTTGTCAACTGAGCCACCTCCCCCAGGCCTTTCTTCACAAATTTTAAGCGTTCCATGTACAACTATTAACTCTAGACATAATGTCATATGGAAATTTCCTAGAATTAGTTTGTCTTGCGTAAATGAAACTCTGCACCCCAAATAGCAGCTCAGCTCCCTCTTGCCCAGCTGCTAGCAACTACCTTTTCTGTTTTGACTACCTGCTTATTACAAACCACCTGCCTCTGTTTTGACTGTTTCAGATGCCTCATGTAAGCGGAATCATGAGTAGTATTTGTTCTGTGACTGGCTTATGTCACGTATATAATATCCTCTGGGTTATCCACTTCAAAATACATGGATACAAAGTTCCCTTTTCTTAAAGATTAAGATAGTCCATTATAATATAGAGAGAGATCATATTTTCTTCATCAATTCGTCCACCAATGGAAATTTAATTTTCATGACGTTCCTACTATGGTATACTTAATTTTAAGTTTCATTTTCTGTCTGATGATCTTTCACAATAGTTTTACATTCCAGATTTTGGCAGGGACACATAGTAAATATAGAGGGCTAAAAGCTACACTAATATATATATGTAGTGTGTGTGTGTGTGTGTGTGTGTGTACATAAATATATACATATATAAATAAACTACTCTCCCAAGAATTTAACAGATCCAAGAAACAAAACTATTCTAAGATAGGAAAAGTAAATCTTAGTACTTTAGGAGTTTGATTTATATATATGTTAGAGTCTAACTATTAGTGAAAAAATATGATTACGGGCTACTGTTAGGGTTATTCCCTATGCCTGACAAGTTGGACAGATGATTTTACAAACTTTCCTACGGTGCATGTATAGAAAGACCACAAATGAGGTATGTCGACCTTTTGTGTGAACAAATCTTCTGCTAAAAATATCATTGTTGTTCATGTTAGATGAATACAAATGTAAGCCAAATGCTTAGGAGAGATGACGGATTGCCACGCTGAGGCTTTCCG